CTGTCAATGAAACCTTTCATTTCCCCCAGGTATCTCTGATTATAGCCTAATCCTATTCTCTATGAACTTCAACTTCTAAAAGAAATGCATACCATTCAAGTTATTCAATGCTTGGTCCACCATCCTCTTTTCTACTATAGTATCCAAGGTATTTGGATCTCCTATATCAAGGGGACCTCTATGTTTCAAGTAGTCTAAAAGCTCAAAAGATTGAAGCACATCCTCAAATCCAACTGTAGGGAAGCATTTTTTGAGATTGACTCAAAGTTGGATGTTGTTAAGATGGAATTAGACTCCTGCCAATATGATCATGATACAACCCCAAATGACATTTCTTTTAAACAGTTAGAGAAAGCTCTAATTTCTGAATTTTTAAGGCTTGGAAAGGTTCAAGAGGATATGCTTTGTCAGAAATCTAGGATGACTTGGTTAAAATTAGGAAATTGCAATTCTTCTTATTTTCACAAGCCCCTCACTTCTAGAAATAATAGAAATAAGATTATTAGTCTGACTATTGTTGTTGGGATAAAGATTGTTGATCCAGAGTCCATCAAGCATGAAATCATCTCACATTTTTAGAATTTACTAGGGTGTCCTCCCCTTACATCTCATGTAATCTTTGATCTCTCCCCATTCATCATCAAATCAGTGCCATTTCATTTGCATGGCTTTCTGGAGTCCCCACTCTTACCTCTTCAGATCCAAGAATGCATGTTGTCTCTCAATAGGGATAAGGCTCCTGGTCCAAATGGCTAGAATACTTATTTCTTCCATAAGACATGACACATTGTGGGGAACTCCGTCATTATAGCCATTTCTGAATTTTTTAGGAATGGAAAACTACTCTCTGAAATGAATTGAACCTACATCTCACTGGTCACCAAGTGTCCTAACCCCTCATCCCTCAATGATTATAGACTAATTTCCCGTTGTAATACCATATATAAGTGTATAGCAAAATTGCTAGCATCTAATGTAATGTTACTTATTTTTCCTATTTTCTGAAATTTATTTGACTTTCTGGATTATTTTAATTATTGCCTCGTTTTGCGTGTCACGTGGGCCCCGAGGGTCGTTTTGGTCATTTTTTTAAGTCGAGAATTTTAGAAATGTAATTTTTATTTATTTTAAGTTATTTAGAGGCGATAGGACTATTTTTAGAATTTTCAGAAGTCAAGACGATTTTTGGGTTCGGGAACTTCTCCCGATTTTCACATTTTAAGTGAGGGGCATTGTAGTCACTTTATATGTATATATATATTTATTTGTGTGTGTGTATCTATTTTGGTGGGAGATATTTTAGGGACCTTGTTGGTATTGAAATGGATGTAGATGGGCAAAAGAGTAACTAACCAAAAAGTTACAATCACACACATTTTGACAAGTGGCAAGCCATTAGCCACAAGGTCAAAAGTTGACCACCTCTTTTTCCTCTTCTTCTTCTCCTCGGCAGAATGAATCTCACTTTCTCAATATTCCATTTTCTCTCTATATATTTTTACATTCATGTCTCCATGCTTTCAAGCTTCCTTTTGAGTGAGTTATGTTAGGATTTTGATGAAGCCATAGATGAAGAAGTGATGAGCTTGAGGAGAGCTTTTAATTGAGACCAATATTCCAAGGGGTTAAGGATTTCAAAATTTTGGAGGCCTTATGGCTTTTTTGGCATGGCTAACTTCTTGAGGTAGGGGTTATCGAACTTGTGTAGTCCCAAGTCCTTATAAGTGATTATTGTGTTTCCCTTAAAAAGCATGCTGAATTTTTACATGAATTGGCTGAATTGGATTATAGGTTTCATTTATGATTATTGCTTGTTAAGTTGTTGTTTAAATTGAGATCAATGCTATCTACGTGTTGCTTAGTTGTTAAAGAGGACTTCTTGTTAAATTGTTGCTAAAGTAAAGTCATTATTCATATTGTAATTGTATGGAATGATGGAAAATGTGTTGATGCTCACTCATTTTATTATGCTCTTTTGTGTTATGTGTCATGCTTACTTGACATGAGGAAACACCATTTAGGCATCCTCTACATGCTCACCCCTCTTATCTTAAACATTTTCAGGGTTTTAAGAGTGGAGGAATGGATGAGACGTCTTCACATGCTTATACATAGTTGAAAATTTATAATTTGAAGTTCATGTATCTATATTTAATGTAATTGAATTTATTTTGATGTATAATGATGTAATTTAATCTCATTATGATATACGAATATTATTTTATCAATGTAAGCATGTTTATGGATATTTTTGAACAAATTTTAACCATATTAGATGTCACAAGCAAAACCATAGGGTTGCCTTGGGCACTTAAACAGTGAGAAACTCACATTTTTGGGCCATTTCGGTCGACCGGTACCATTTGGAATTGAAACCAGTAGCCTCAGACACTCCAGAGCCACAACCGGTCGACCGGTAGGTCATTTTGGTCGATCGGTATAGCACTTACAAGTCTGCTGAAATAAAATTATGACAACTTTGAATTCCAGACTTCAAATGATCATATTTCACTCATTTTAACTCCAAATTGGGTCAAATTTGAGTCTAACTTCAAGGATTTTAAGTTAGCTTTCCAATGAAATTAATTTCACTCAAAAATTTCAATTATAGAGAGAGTTATAACCTTTTTAGAGTAGACTGCTCCAGAATTCTTTGAAAACGAAGGCGGAAATTGTGTGAAATCTTTATCCTTATATCCAGGACCTTGTGTCATGGGTTTAAATGACCCTTATGACTTATGTTGACCTATTTAGACTCATTTAGAGTTACATTATTTATTACCACACCTTAGTTGACCATTTTACCCTTGGATGTTCTCGGGTTCGGGTAAGGACCCGGCTAGTGATTCGGACCCACTGGTTCGGGTCGTTACATCCATGCTCCAACTTACCCTTCCTCACATGATTGACACATCTCAAACAACATTTATTCAAGGCAGGAAGATTATAGACTCCATTTGGCTCATGAACTATTAAGGGGTTATCACAGAGAAATAGGTTCTTCAAGGTGTGCTATCAAAATTGATCTCATCAAAGCTTTTGACTCAGTAAATTGGGACTTCATTACCAACTGTCTCACCTTTATCAAGTTCTCTCAAAAAATTAATCTCCCTAATCCTAGCATGTATCTCATCCCCTTCATTTACAATTGCTTTAAATGGAGAATTCTAAGATTTTTTTAAGGGAAGAAATAATTAAGGCAATTAGATCCAATTTCCCCATTCATCTTTGTTATTGATGCCCTAACTTCTATTATCAACAACTTTGTTGCTAGAGCTCCAATGTAGTATTTCTTATTTTTCTTATTTTTTTATTTTTTGGGATTTTTTGGGATTATTTTCATTTTTCTCGTTTTGCGTGTCGGGAACCGCGGGGTGTGCCGGGTGAGTTCCGGGAGTTAGATGGGACATTTCTTCAAGTTCGGGACTCTTAGAAATGCATTATTGGTCATTTCGACAATTTTCAGTTTTTCAGGCCAGGAGGTCCTGAGTGGGACTCGTAACCAGATTTGTTGTGCATGGGGATTATGTTTTGGGACCATTGTATTTTATGCATATTTATTTGATGCATGTTTATATGGATATATGTTTAGAGGTGTGGTTGTAGTGTATTTAGTGTATGTATATATATGTTTACATAAAGGACAAACAAATATTTGTTTGCGTGGGACCCATAGATGACCATGGTCATTATCAGACCATCAATCTTTCTCTTCTGCTACGCTATTTCTCTCTTTCTCTACAGCTTTTCCTTTTTTTTTTTTTCTTTTTTTTTTCTTCTTCATTTAAAGCTTAGATCTCTCATTTTTTCTTGGGAATTCGACTTTGCCACTAAAGACAAAGTTAATGAGCACGACGAGAGCTTTGAATCGATCGGAGCAAAATTTGCATTTTGACCACCTTGGATTTTTGAGATTTGGGCTAATTTTGGGTTTCTTGCTTTTCACTCGAGGTGGGGAATTTCTAAGGCATATCTATTTGATTTTTGTGATTCATCTTTCAATATTTGATGCATATCATGTTCAATTGTGGCTATTTCTTGAAACATGGTTATGATATTATATATGATGTGTATGTCTATGTGATAGTTGATGTATTGTGAAAAAAACTTGCTTATATGAATTTATTTCATATCTTATATGCTTGATGTGCCGGATTCTTGTGATTATGTAAAAGCATGAAGTATTTCTTTGGAAGTTTCTTTCAAAGTATGCTATATTGTTGAGATTAAATACAATGTATGAAAGTTTAATGTTGTCATGGTATTGAAAGGCAAGAGGCATTCATGCATGGCATTGGGCAAGAAAAGAGAACTTGTTTTGAAAAGGAAAAGGAAAATTTTATTTGGGAAAAGGATTTTGAAAAGTGGTTTGCGAAAACCCGGGCGCCTAGGAGTTGCCTAATGGTCAGTGGCGTTAATGTTATCTTGAGGGAATTAGGGAGGCCACCTAACCTTGTGGAGGAGTGTCGTCTGCCACTTCCTTTCCGTGTCCTGAAAATAATAACATAAGGGGTAAGCACAACCGCTCAGTAAGAGGTGCCTAAGACAAACCTCTTAATGACCTGTGAATCCAAACAAAGCATAAAGTAAAGAAATACGGGATCATACTATCTCAGGGAAAAATACAACAACAACAACAAAACCATAATTAAGCCATGCCATGTCAATGGAATGCAATGATATGCCAATGTCGCTCCTTGTTTTCAAAACTTTTTCGTTTTTCCATTCCAAACCGTTAATGCAACCCGGCCCAAGACAGCTCCATGGCGCCATGAAAGAAGGGCTGGCTAGCTATCCCTGACCACAAGGCAACTCCAAGGCGTCATTTCAGACGATCGAAATGGCCATTTCGGACTACTGGTTTCTATTGAAATGCAGTTTGCTTGTCTTCTTTCTTTGGGCTCAATTCTAACCCATTTGATGATGTCATGTAATGTTACAAACCTTAGAATGATGTATTAATGGCGTATTGACATTGGATATGACCCCTATGTCCCTAGATGACCTCAGGTTCGGGTAAGGAACCGGTTAGCGATTCAGACCCCGGGTTCGGGTTGTTACATCCAAGGTTCAAACACCACTGGAGATGCAAAGAGCAAGGTATAACTCACCTTTCATTTGCAGATCACTTGCTCTTAGTGTACCATAGAGACATTGAATCTGTATCAGTTCTGAAATCTGCCCTTGACTTCTTCTGTTCTATGTCTGGGCTGGCAATCAATCTAACAAATAGTTCAATCTTTTTATCTGGAAGTGGCCCTCACACTGAAGAAGCCATCATTGAGATCCTTGGCATTCACAAAGGCAACCTTCCCATCAGGCACCTTGGTGTTCCCCTTATCACCACCAACCTCAAGGCAGCAGAGTGTAGGCCTTTTATTGATAATATCACTCACTGGATAATTCATTGGTCTGCTAGGTCTCTCTCGTATGCAGGTAGATTGCAGTTGGTTAAAGTTGTTTTTGTATCCACTCAACGCTACTAGTCCAACGTCTTCATCCTGCTAGAGATAGTAATCAACGAGCTCAACAAGACCTTTATGTCATTTCTATGGCCAGGTCCAAAAATGAAGTCTACTGGAGCAAAAGTTGCATGGAAGACTGTTTGCAAGCCCAAAGAAGAAGGAAGTCTAGGTCTCCCCAACCTGAAATTTCCAACAAAGCTGCCATCTTGAGATACATTTGGGAAATCCAAACTGACAACTCAGAGAGGATATGGATCAAATGGTGCAGAACTCATGTTATCAAAAACAGGAACTTTTGGAGCTTGAAATTTCCACATCCATGCTCATGGAGTTGGCGTAAGATCTTGCAATTGAGACACCCACTAGGCATATTATTATGTCATTGGCAATGGGGTTGACACCAATTTTTGGTTAGATAACTGGACAAATGGTGGCCCTTTCTGCCTGAGGTTTCCATCACAACTCATATCCAATATTGGATTAGATGAGTCCATAACTGTGGACAACTTCATAGTGAACAATTCATGGTCCTTCCCAAATTCCCTTTCAAATGCCATACCTGAATTACTCACCCTTCCATAGCTATGTTCTCTCAGGAGAGACAAGCTTGTTTGGACAGTCTCCCCATCTGGTATCTTCAGCCTAAAACACAATTCTCTCCACCTTGCAAGCTCTGGAATGCGGGTCTGGCGAGCTCCAACCATTCCAAGAATGAAATTCAAAATGTGGGTAGCAGTACAAACAGACTTGATAGCAGGGTAATGGCTCATCACGAAAATATCTATGCTCTTTGCCACACCAAGACGGAATCCCATTCTCACCTCTTCTTCGTATGTGTATTCTCATCCCCACTTTGGAGGTTCATTCGAGACAGATGCAAATTCTACAAATCATTCCTCAATTGAGTTTATTAGCCAGCGATGGAGGGCAAATACTCCAATTAACATGCTCAGAAAGATATGTCTGTCAGATATGGTGTATCACATCTGGGAAGAGCGGAATAATCGTATATTCTGAAGGAAACAATCGTCACAGAGATTAGTTCTAGCAAAAGTTTGTAACTCAATCACATCTCTTCTTCAGCTTAGGTGCCTCAGGGATTGCTCAGGTTCAAGATCTATTTTGCTATGCTTGTAGGAGACTTTTGCTCGATTAATTCTTTTTTATCTCTTAGAATCCTTAATTAATAAATTATTTTTAATTTTCTCTTAGAGTTTCAAATTGAATAGGAGCTTACAATTAACCTTATAAAGCATGTATATAAAAAATAAAAATTAATTAAACTATAATAATGCTCATTAGAAAGCTTATTCAAACTTATTTGTTTATTAAAAGAACTGACCTCGAAGTTGTTTTTGAATTTTGTTTATTCCACCTGAATGAATGTTTTCCTTGGATTTTTTCTACACCGTTCCAATGAAAGAAGCCATCACTACCCACAATCTTTCATTTTAAGAAAAAAATCATAAGAATCCCTCTACATTACCCACAATAAATTTATTAACACACCTATCTCATCACATTTTCTACACATTTTTACTCAATTTCGCCGAGCAAAGTCCAGATTTTGATGATTTCTTTTGATTCTTGCTTTCACATCTATTTTTGAAGAATTTTTGCTAAAAATAACTAAACTCTACATTTACTCTTACCAGCTTCACTCGATGGACGCAAACTAGACAGTCCTCCTAAACAATTAGAAAATTTCTCGTAGGAGAATTAAATAAAAGTGGTTTCGTGTGTTTCAATAACAAATTAAGGTTTCAATAACAAATTAAGATTAAAATTAAAATTAAAATTTGAAAATGAAAAGCAAAAAACAAAAAACAAAAAAATGGAAACTAAGAATCTCAAGGTACCACATGAAATATCAATAAATCCACAACAATTCCTCAATGGCTAATTAAACTTGTTCTAAGCTAGCCACAGTAATTATATATATACACACACACACACACACGCATATGATAAACGGGCATTATAATCTTTGATCGCTGGATTAGCAATTTGATTTGTTTTCAAATTCTACGAAGGTTGCGGGTGAGACCCATCATCGAGTTGATGTCAACTCCCGCGAAATACAGATTGACTCGTTTGCTTTTGCCAATCTTAATATACATATATAGGGAGAGAGAGAGAGGGGCTCATTTCAAGAATGCAATTTGAAGTACGCAGTTAAATTTCATTCATCGAAATGAAAAATAGCACCAACATGACCAATAATTTACTTGAATGGGAACCCTGTAAATATCAGGAAAGCCTAAGATTAGCTGTATTCACCAAAGATTTCAAGCTAAATCCAAATTCTCCTTCGTTCACTTACCATACAAAGCACTAGCATTATCCATCTCCCGGTCTCTAATATACTAAAAAGATTAAACACAGTTTCCAGAAGAAAATCATAGCTGGCACTTTCAACTTTCTACTGGAGAATGGTGATGTAATTTGCCGCAACACCAATCAAGAGAAGACGCATTCATATACAAATTCAAACATCCGGAAAGTGGGGAGTAAAACAAATGTAGGGGTGGGGTTCTTCATGGAAGAACATGGCATTGCCGGAATGACAAACAGCACACAAAAGTTCATTGAACTACGGATAAGGTATTTTATACACAAAAATCTCGCAACTTATCTCTCTTTTCTGATTGTTGATGTCTACTACTACTACTACAGAATATGTGGCTACCACCCCTAGAGAACAAATAAAACAACGCTAGAAGGAATTGGGTGATGAACACTCCTCAGGATACTCTGACAGAAGAAAGAAGGAAGAAGATAACAGAGTAATGTACAGGGTAGAGGGGGCTGAGACCATTGTCAAAGTTAACGCCTTTGTGTTCGTGCAAGGAATGCTTTGTCTGCATTGGCAAGGCGATCCTGGAATTGAGCCCACTCGCTTCTGCACCTCTCTCTCACCTGTGCACGGAGAAGGACACTAGTTACAAAAATCTTCTACTTCATCTATTAAAGATGAAAGAGGAGGAGACAATTTTACTAATTTCAAATTTTTATATGAAACAGAAAAATCTTTTATTTGTATTCCATTTTCCCCTTAATTTAGAAGAAAGGGAGCAACAAAGGGTGACACTGAAAAGTGAGTAGACACTAATTGGAGGGAGAGGGAAAAAAAAAAAATTTGAAAACCTTTCCAAAACAACTGAAGTACATAAGTTAAAAGATAATATATTACCCCTTGCCACGGAGCTTTACCATTCTCAGCCTTGCCCTGAAATTTAAAGTAAATTTAGAAAATGAGAATCAAATCCAGCAAGCAGATTCCATTCACCAATAAGACCAAAATATCAAGAAAATATCAATAAAACGAAGGATATGCAAGAGTAGTAACCTTGGCGTGCTGTGAAAAAATGCCACACGAAGAAATAATGTTACTAGAGGGTAAATTTTCATCATATTTCATGTTATAGGCCTTTTTAATTCCCATCATATTCTCCAAAGTCCAAACACAGTCTATATTATTATCACCTATATATATTATGATTAAAATAATGAAAGGGTTGCGTCGCCCTAAATTTCTAGAAGAGTGATAGACCAGCTCCTAAATTTAAGTGCTCCCAAATAACATTGAATATCAACTTCATGATCCTTGCCATTACCCAGACTCACTTACAAAGGTCAAAATGTCATTTCAAGTGATCTAATGACTTGAGACATAGTGGCTTCTAGATCTAATTCTTTAGTTTTTTGAGGACAAAATGTTAAATGAAATTCAGCTTCTAAACAAGTGCTTATGGCCGTGTTATAAACGCATGCTCATATAATGGTGTTAATAGAAATAACACGCCCATAAGCACTTGCCTAGATCTAATTATTTAGTTTTGCGAGGACAAAATATATAAAGTGTAGTTTAGCAAAAATAAAAAGTGGAGTGAAATAAAGTGAAAATTGATGCCAAGAGATGTCCAAAAGTGAATATTTTTTGATATCTATGATGGATTATCTGTCAGGAGGGAGACATTAAAGACATCATCCATAAAAATAAAGCAGCGCGTAAAAAATGGAGAAACTATTTTTTTTTTGGGTGTTCTGTGACTAAAATTCCAACCGAGTAGAGGGGGAAGTTTTATAAAGATAACCAGTACGAAGGAGTGAATTTGTCCAGCAAGGAAGAAAGGAAATGACAATTAAAAACGCAAGAAAGGACATTCTTGTTTGGATTTAACTGAAGATATGGTTTAACAAACAATTGACTCAAGATGACATAATCATGATACTTCCCAAGAAATTGGGATTAAGACTTGTTATATTGAATTGAAAAAAGGAAAACTGAAACACAATACAAAGTTTAATACCTTTCTAAACCTTTGATTCGATATTATTCATGTATTATTGGTTCCCTTAATTAGCAAAGTACAAAAATGGAATTGATTCGATAAAGGAAGCTGGAAGTGAATTTAAAAACATTAAGAGGACAAGAAGCACTATTATAATTTGATACTAATTTGGACACTAAAAAGTTCTAATGAGAAACTTCTACTAAACAAATACGAGCTTTAAAATGAAACAGTGATCTTCAAGACAGGACTAAAGAAACTTGTAAGATTTGCTCATGAATAATTACAAAAAATGTTTTGAATTTTTTTCTTTTCAAGTGATTTATAATATCTGCATTTCTCGTAAGTTTCCACTTTCCAGGCACATTCCAAGCTTTTTATGAGAAGTCACCAAGGTATTATTGCAGAAGCTTCAAATTCAAATCCCTCTCTTAAAATAAGAGGAAAAATAAAGCTCATACACGATTTCCCCTCGACATTCCCATATGTTTTCTCCCCACTTCCGGAACACATTCAGTATTTCAGAAGAAAAGCATTTCCTACCAAGGACTTGGTCTCCTAAACAATATATTTCCTATATCCACGCACCATGATTGCCAATGAACTTGTTTCCAGCTTTGCAAAAGAGTTTCCCATTTCTAAAGGGGAAAAAAATACTATTGCTACAATTTCTACTAAGAACTAAGTCTCCTTAGAGAAATATTCCCAACCATCTCGAGATTTTTACTAGATTGTGGGTGCCTTGTTCAGTTTTAAACCACAACCACCCCACCCATCCCCCAAGGGCGAAACTCTATCCCGTATTAAAATTCTTTTGTTATCAAAACATATTTTTGTTTACCAACATGGATACACATATGCACGAGAGAGAGAGAGAGAGAGAGAGAGAGAGTTTTAAACTTCATTTGAGACATCATGTACTCAACAAATTGAAGAAGAAATTGATAAAGATAAAAAAAGGTTCCATGCAACCAAACTTCATCCAATGCATAAAGCACTAAATGGATATACAACAATATAAGTATTAATTAATCAAAAGTAAATAGTGACTCACTTGATTCCCAAGAGAAGGAATTACTTGATGAACAATCCATTGTGAGTCAACCACACCAATTTTCTCATGTGCTGGCTGCAGGGGCAAAACAAAAGTAATTACAAAGAACTACCAAATAGATGGTGCCCTGCTAATCTAAGAGATAAGTGCTTTACATGTTCACAAATATATGCCAATGGTGAAACCCCATTGATTGTATATATTTACAGCACATAAAAAAACCAGAAAGACTCCAAGCAGTCCATATAAACTAGTTCCTGTTACACCATATTTTTTAGAAAACAAGTCCATCCTTACTAGTGTGAAAGCATTCATGCGAGCCCCAACAAACATTTTGGTCTTAATTATATTATCTTTGACACCTACTAACATAAACATTCTGGATGACCCAAATAACAAACATTTTAGAAAAAGAAATGGCCAAAATCATACATTAGAATCATTTTATAAAACTTTTTTTCCCCCATCATCAGATCAGACCATTGGTTCCACAGTTTGAGACTGGCTCACTACACGAATTATTTATGTTACCATTTTAAATACCAGCAAAGCCGCATTTTCAAAAACAGATAAAGTCTCCTACACACAACTACATTCATATATGTGTACATATATTTATATTTTCCTACAGAAGTTTTTTTTCTTTTCTTTTCTTTTCTTTTTTTTTCTTTTTTTTCCCCTTAGAATTTCATTTATGCAGCCTGCTTGGGTTATAAACATGTCGTGCAATCAGAAAAGCACCCAAATGTCTTATAGAATAGAAAAACATGATATTATAACCCTATGGAAACATGTCTTAGATGCTATCACATTTGTCCAAAAAGAAAAAAGAACACATTGAACATGCACTGAAATATGCAGGTCCAGAAGAATGCACCTGAAACATTTGCAATTACCAACAACAACACAAACTACTTACGTCTACACATCTTCTGAGGGCAAAATCCAATCCCCATCCATGTACCAAATCATTCTACAAATATGTAGGCGAAAACATTAGTCAGCATATCTGAAAATTGAAAAATACTAAACGAAAAGAATTTCTATTACTGCAGCCGAACACAGGAGAGCACTCATAAGTTGAATATATAAAACAGACAGTCCAATTAAAACATACAATTAAAAATATAACAATACCTGGATCATATGCCACACACAACGCCAAGCATCCCTAGAGAAAACTGGAGCCATGATCTCTACGAATCTGAATAAAGCAAGGAAAACAAAGTATTGGGAAGTGTGATGTGCACTCAAATCATATGTGAAATCATTTCATAAATTAAATTCCACACAAAACACACCACCTAGCTTGTTGATTATAATTATTCACATCTGCATGAGCTCTAATTTTGCAAAATTTGCTTGACACTATATAAAATTTTCTTTAATAAACATACATAGCATATATCACTTAAATTTTCCAAAAGAAAACAAAAGCGATGCTGCTTTTAGACCTTTAAATTCTTTTAGAAATGCAATTCAACACCATATTAAAATTCAGTCAATTAAATTTATGAACTGATTTCTCTGCAATAAGTAAAGAATCCCATAGCCTCATGTCTCTCAAATGCATTCCAAATATATTGTGCTTCATATAATCCCCTTCCTAAAAAAAATCCTTCCTTTATTTATTTGTTGGAATTGATTCACCCCTTCCATAAATTGTATAGTACCTCAAAACACACAATGACTACCATACAGGGGAAAAAATTATTCTTTATCTATTTATATTGCAAAGTATTTTTTGTACAATACGTGATGAAGCAACATATGCATCAAGGAATATATATATATATATATATATATATATATATTAAAGTAAACAAATAAAGACGCCAGAGGGATAACTGATTAACCTTCTTTGGAAGGGCTGCCATGAGATTAGGGTATTAGAGAGAGAAATGAATCAGAGATAATGTCTAAACAGAACGAGAAAGCTCCTAAGATAGGTCCATGCACCTTGATGGTTTAAATTTAAGCACCAGGTAATATGTACAAAACAGTGCGTGTCCAGGATGCAAGTTCTAAGAAGCTGTAATTTCCACTAATTTGGGAGTAATTTAGCAAATTTCTAAAGTTCCCAAACATTCTTCCACTCTCACACGATATCAATAGATTGACATTCAACCCAAAAAATCAGACCAATGGGGGTAAGGGTTGACAGGTAAGCAGACTGAGGAACACTTAAAAGCTATAATATTGATTTGTACAGAATATGTTAAATCAATTCAAAGCTAAAACTGATTTTTAAAGCTGACAAAATCAAGCCAAACAGCAATTCCAAGATTGTAATGGATTTTGACCATAATATTAAGTGAACAACCATTTCCACCAAAAAAAAATTCGCTTCTTCCACCAAGCTGCAGTAATATCATCTCCGATAACAATCACATACCATGGAAACTTTTTCTTCACTGGTCTGATTTTAATGCATGACCAAAAAGCAGTTTTTCCTCAAACTTATTGTACTTAAATGATATGATTTTTCAAAGACCTTGGTACAATTGCAATTGCAGATTTGCTTGTTGGGTAACATGCCAAGTAGGGGTGCAACTTGGGCAGGTCCAACCTGAACCCAGCCCGAAAAATTTCGAACTTGGGCATGCTAATTCCTAAACCGGGCTGAAATCGGGTTGGGTTTTCCTCAAGTCCGAGAAAGCTTGGGTTGGGCCTGAACCCAACCCAAAACCCGAAATTAAAGAAAACTCCCCAATCTTAACAATTGAACGGTTTGACCTAAAGAATGATATCGCACAGACCCAAACCCACTTTCCTCCAGACCCATCCCCATCCCCCTTTTCTTTCTCTCTCTAAAAATCTTAGATCCCCTCTCTCTCTCTCTCTAAATCGCCTACCCTTTCTCTCCCTCATCAAATCTTTACCTTCATCCTTGATAGTTCAATCATCGAAGACAAGTGAGGGTTTGTTTTCTGATCTCTTCAATCCCAAGAAATTTCTGGAAGTTTCTTTATTATTCATGTCCAGCGTTCGAGCTTCGAACGGTCAGGAGCCGCCATACGTGGCGGCCGGAGGACAGAGTATACAACCGATGAAGCGCCATCCTTGCCGGCGGCTGGAGTCCTTGTCTTCTTCGCTGGTGGTGACAGCGACCTCTTGGAGGGTGATTATTGGCGTTATCGGTGCTTCGGTGTCTTCATCCTCGCCGGCGGCGATTTCTTCCTCTTCACTGTGCTCGGGATCGACCAATATATATTAAAGATGCCAACATGATAAAGATAAAAAGTAATGCTTTGAGCCTCCGCCGATCTATGGAGGGCCTAAGAACCATGATTGGCTAATGGGAAAGGGTGGCATAGGATATTAGTAATACCACTCAAACATGTTTCAAGCGCTTGTACTTCTTTTATGGAAGTTGTACTGCAACCACCAACGTCTACATGTACTACACTATAAAGCTATGGCTTCTACAATATCTAGAGATCTATTATTAATCCTTTGGAAGAAATTCATGTTGCCTAAATATGCATTTAATGTACACTTAATTTAAAAGACAAAAATATTAATATATATATAAAAAATTATAACCAAGTGAGCTGTGAGAGCACAATAAGGATTTACCAAATGTTATATATCTAGGAATTATATTCACACTTAGTTTATTTTAATATAATTAACTAGAAGAGTATTAATGAATTGAAAATTATTTTTTTCTCTGAAAAATTGAAGTTTTCAACCAAGCCAAATGTGGGTTTAATAAACACATTTCTAGGGACAATACAGTTAAGTTGGAACTAATGAATTTAGATGAGAGAGACAGAGAGAAGATTACGCAGCACATGGAGGCAAATGTGGATCACTGCACCAGCCTGGTTTCTCTTCTGTATTCCTGTTGGGCAAGCCACACATATACAACTTAAAACTGTGCGCAGATGAGTTAATTTAAACAAGTATTATCTAATAATTCATTGCGCGGCGGGGGGTGGGGGTAGAGGAAGCCTACTTGTGAACTTCTCTGTCACCTCTCCTCTTTGTCATCTCCCATGTTAGTCCATTGTTTGGCTCAAGACCTGGTTGAGAAATCTCCAAGCCATGTTTCTTCACTAGCTGAATATACCTGGAAGATTAAATAGGAAATATAACAATTTAGATTAAGTTGACTAACCAGGAACCAAGATTGATAAAATAAGTGAGAAAAATTACTTCTCAGCATCGAAGTGTTCAACTCCAAGGTCTTCATCCCAAACAAAAATGTAATCATAAGCTGCTACAACATCAGGATGCAAAAACCTCTTTGCATACCACCTGCAAAAGACAGAAGGTAATGGATGAAAAAACAGCCTGCAAAACATATTGCATTGGTACCAGTGGGAAAAGACATGGTAGCTATTCTTATACAGCAGTTACTTTGAATTTACCAAAGGATGCACAAGCTGATGAGAAGTTTCATCTTTTCTTTCCCTTTTATTTTGCTCACAGAAGGCCTTCAAATGTTTCTGTTTTTATTTTTATTATTATTTATTTGCTAATGAGGAGGTATATGTCCCTCTTTGAGCATTTGAAAAGTGTCCTGCCCCACATGTGGTCCACCTGTCCCACATGCATTTTTGTAATTACAAGAATAAATTCATATAAACTATTTTAAGAATTCCAGTAGATGATAAATTGGCACCTTAAATACCATGTAAAAAGCCAAAGAATTTTACCATTTTGATTGTTTCCTCACGCTGATGTGAACCGCGGTCTTTGACCACTCAAATTCTTCCCATTCACTTGTCCGGCCATCATAGTGGAAAAGTAAAATTTGAAAATCCTCAGAAAACTACCAAAAAAAAAAAAAAAATTAAGAGTTGTAGAAACTCAGGAGGCCTGCAATATCATAAATATAAATAACAATAATGGAAGTGTCGACTAGCACAACCTTTTTAACTGCTGCATCAATGAGATCCTTCTGTTCGAAACCAACAGTGAATGTCACCAAGTACTTTGGCTTCTTTTTCAGATCCTGAAAGACCCATAACATTCTTTATTAGAAAACTGCAATTACCTATAAAGCTAACCCACATGCCAAAATCAATTGGAATCTCATGGTAGGAGAGATTTTTCTGAATGTAATTTTTATTTTTATTATTATTTTTTTCATAGTGCTGGATCTCTGTTGCACTCACCATTGTCTGCATGCTAAAACGCATACATCAAAATACTTTCAAAGTGAGAATGGACTTCTCTCTTCTATAATAAAATTTACAAGCCAACAAATCCAGACCCCCACCTACCAATTCTAGTCCATCCAAACATGGGTGCACGCAAAGAAACAAAAGAAACTTGGCAAACACAGAATTGTGAAAACAATCTAAAGATACAACCAAATGAAACTCAAAACCTTAAGCCTTAAACAAGAATACCTAAGAAACATGAAAATTTTGGGACAAAAAGCAAAATGTATATTTTATGGCACCATAAATGAAATAACTACTATCATCCACTGACAAACACAAATTATCTATATTGTATCAGGACTTTTACAATGATAGTGAATCTTTCAAATTGGTTATATTAAACTTAAAAGCAAGCAATAAAATGGTAAATATTATAAAGTATCACCTTTTCCAGCCATTCATTAAAGGTAAATGATTGCAAGCTTCGGCACAACAATCACATTTTTTTTTTTTTTTTTGTTAAATTCATTTCAAAAACCATACCTCACTTGGTTCACCCCACAATCTTCGCAAATAAAAGTCAGTCTTTGAGACTACAATTCCTGGAGGTAATGACTCAGCACCGCGAGGATTTGTTGGAACATATATCTGGGAACAAAAAACAACCATGTATAAGTTATCGGTTAATTGGACATGAATCAGGTTACTGCAAAACATGAATTTCTGCCATACATGCAACTGAAAAGATAATTATGCGTGTATCATGTCTAGTGTTTTATCCTTACAAAACCCAAGAGGATAATGCTTTTCAATGCATTCAGGCAAGCACGTATAGAGAATAGGTCCAAGATATTAGGCTTATACTAATAATATAGGTACATTGACAAGTAACGAGACGGAATGGGTAAACATCATGATTAGAAATATAATTGACCTATCATGCTTACGAAAAACTAAGCAGATAGGAGAGAAATACAGAAAGACTGAACCAAAACTAAAAAAGAATGATGTAATTAGAAATGATTTAAAAAAAGGGTATATAAAAGGAGAAATGATGTGATAAAAAAGAATAGAAAAAGAGAATTCATGTGGTTGATCCCATTCATATAGGATAAAGGCAAAGATGATTGGAAATATAGATATAAATTTGATCACACCAGAAAAGACAAAAATATAAAAAGTAGTAGGGAAAATAGTGGAAGAAATGTAAAATAAGACAATCTAACTGTTATTAATAGAAGGAATAGAAAAAATTAACGATACTTGTAGTAAGACAGAATTGTTAGCATAGTTAACGGTTATGCACACCAAGTAGGACTAGACGAACCAAATCTAAAACAATGTGGGAACATGTGGATGAATGAACTCAAGAATACCTGAAGAAGAAAATTATGTATAGAAGGACTTTAATTTGTTATGTAGAAAAATATTGTAAAAGGTATGAAATTGGGCAAGTTTGACACATATTTGGAAACAGATATTACTCTACGAAGGCTATACTAGATTTTCAATGGTGCATAATTAATGACGGTGAATACGTATTTTAAAAAGATAGATGAAGATTTAGTAACATTTTGAATTGGATTCAATATGAATCCAGTTGAGAAATTGATTTCCATGCAGAAATTGGTTGAGAGATCAATTTCCAAATTGATGGTGCCAGGCAGTCAATTTGGATTTATGCTAGAAAGGTTGATAATGGAAGTTATTCAATTATTAAAAAGACTAACTAAAAAATAAAGAGGAAATAAGAAAGGTCTTCATATAGTATACATAGAATTAGTAGAACCTATGCTAGGTCCTTGGAAAATATAAAATGATAGATTTCATAGAGGAAAAAAGGTCGCAAATAGATATATTAACACACTAAATGATACTTATGATAGAACTGATGCTTATAAGAAAAATATTGAAGAAACAAGTGAATTTCACTACACAAGCTATCATATAATGCCAGAATGGGATAAGGCAAGATTTTGAAACAGGATAAGGCCTACTAATCTGGTAATCATATAATGTTACCAATGCATTTGTGCTACCATATTACATAATGATAAAATAAAGAACCCATAGCTGCCATCAACCCGAATCTTTCTTTAATTTTTATATTTGCTCACCTTTTCATGACCTTAAATAATCACTAAAAATTAGATATAAAATTAATCAAAGGATAATTTTTCATAAAGTAAGTTTGAATCTACATAAAATGTTACATCACTGGTAATTGCTTCTATGTTGGCAAGCTCCTAACTATACTTTTGTCCTGTTCCACTGAACAAGCAATCAATCGGATGTTGCAACCGAGGCACTTGCACTAGATATTCCAATTAATTTCTTTCCTTTATTTTTTTTGGGAGAAGTGTATTCTGATTTGTAACAAGCAAATCCTTATTTTGATGCTACAATTTCCTTACAATGATAATTTTTAGAAGCCAATGTAAGTTTCTCAAACATTACATATATAGATACATCATTAGTGGACAAGAGTGCAAAACACCAATGAAGGAGAAGTATATGAACTCAATTAAATTGCTAAATTACATTAAAGATCCAAAACGAATCACACGACTTGATAAAAAACTACAAAGAGTTTTTTTGGAAATGCATTCAACCCTAGCTTCGGCATCATTTTAGTTATCACCTTTTCTTGTTTGTGATTGTACACGACATAAATGTTGCCTGGAGAAAGGAAGAATTAAAGTTTATGGTAACATCCAGTTTCATTGATCAACTGAGATTGTTTTCTTACTAATAACAGTTTAAGGCAAACAACACCATTTCAAAAAACACAAATAAGAACCAACGGATGTAACGTATCAAGGGTCATTAAAATGACACATGAAATTAAAGTTTCGAAACAAGAAATCCAGGCAGTTTTAGAAGACTTAAATATCCAGAAAAGAGTACCTTAGGTATTGCAGTGTCACTATTAGCAAGAGTTTCAGGTAAATTGTTGTCCTTGTCAGACATACGGTCACTGAAGGCTTCATCAAGAGATGATATGATGCTTGAAGGTAAGTTAATCTGCGAGATCTCACAATGAATCAAATGGATGCAAGGTGTCTCACGTAACAAACTTTCATCCGTAAAATGAGCTGACTAACCTTCGTAAGAGAAACAGATGGAAATGAAACACCAACAAAATATCCAAAGACCATTCCCATGATAGTTGTTATAATAAGCCTGGCACCGTCATTTGATTTTTTAGAAACTCCACTACAAACCAAAGAGAAAACTAATTAAGATGCTAATACAAAATGAAAATGATTTTGGCCACTTTAAGCCAACTTACAAGAGTTAATAAGCAATTTGTTATAAAGGAATATAGGAATATAAGTATATATAAACCTGCGGTGAGTGGTCACCATCTTGGTAAAGTCACTCAACTCAAAAGGTCATGCACTAGGCAAAGACCAGTACTTTGAGCAACTTTTTATAGCACATACAGCATTCTCCGGTTTAAAGAAAGCAAATCTGATATTCCTGGAACGTATATTTCCTGTTAAACACATTCACAGAGTTAATTTCATATGTAATAATTAACAATTTACAATATCTTTCTGCCCTATTTTCTCATCAAGTGGACAAAGTCTATATCATTTCACAATTAAAGATTGTTCATAATAACAGCTTCATATGCCGCATCATAACATATATACATATATATAAGTACTCTTATAAGTGTACTTATTTAAGTTCTACCAAAACAGCAGAGACACATATATGCACTGAAAAAAAAAGTGAAGAACTACCAAAACGGCTATCATGTGTGTGTACATTTTAAGTTAAAGTTTCCCTCTTCCCTTTATTCTCTCTTTTTGATAAGTAAGTCACACTCAAATAATTTACCAAAAAAAAAAAAAAAAAAAAACACACACACACACATACTCAAAAACCCTTTTTGCCCAAACGAGGGCTTGAACCCTCAACCTCCTCTTAGAGAAAATAGAGGAGATACCACTCATTACAAGACCCAAGAAAAGAACCCTAAGAGACCCAGTAAGGTTTCACAATTAACCTAGATTCATTTTGAACAATTTAAATGGTTTGCAGGTTGGCCTCAATCTGCACCATTTCTGAAGCGCTTCCCTGCAGACTGTCGATACTATTCTTACTCCCTGTTCCTATAAACAATATAACCCTACTTTAACTCTTGATCTGTGATGTATCGTGCATTGGAAGTGACGACTAACAAAAAATATTATATATATATATATATATATATATATATATATATATATATTTAAAAAAATACAATTTAGACGATCTCAATTCTTACAGTTGATTATATGGATTCGCTATAAAAATTAAACTCGCATAAATAAAAATAGAAAATATTAAAGCAACGAAGCGTCAAAAAAAATTACAAAACACGTTATAACGAAAATGGACTGAGTTTGAAATTCAAATTCCCTATGAGAATAGCATTATGTAATTCACAAAGATCAACAGTTTTTGATATATTTGAATATAGAAATCATCAATCGTACAATAATCAAGAAAATTTGCAGATTTCGTAAAACAGAGAAAAGACAAGGGTTAGAAAGCTTACAGGTTTCGTCGATTGCAAGAGAGAGGAAGAGAGAGACAGACGGCTACGAATGTCTGGTTTATTGCGGCCAAAAAACAGAAAAATTTTGTTGTGGATGACGAAAATGCCCTCCATACCGTTCAATTTACAACAAATGTCTACTGATTTACGTTATGAGAAAATAAAAGTGGTGTTGAAGGGACAGGTGGCTTTGGTTGGATTCTCAGTGTCAATGCCGGGCTCAAGTCCTATTATATGTTACTACTTTGACAAGAACATTAGGGTTCCTTTGTTGGACAGCAAAAATTTTGGTCCTTTGTTTTTTTTTCTTTGGTTTTGGACGGCATCTTCAATTATTGTGTATATATATATATTTTTTGTAAATATGATATATCATTTATACAAAAATTTTGAATTATTTATTTTTAACTGTTATTTTATACATTTTATGTAAAAATATATTCTCCAATAACAACCAATTAGTGCTTTGACCCCACATAATTTTATAAACGTAGGTTGATTGTTAATGTAATGAGAAACAGGAAGGAAAAAATACACAATAATTTTACACATTGATGATGTGATAGTGTACCTTAACAAACTACTAGAGTTATCCTAAAAAAGATTAACAACCTAAGAAAACAATCCAAAACGGAAGAAGAACTAAAAAGGAAATGATGCAGATATATATATAGAAACATATATACATATATATTATATACTCACTCTGTCCAATAATAGTTGTCCATTTTTCCTTTTTGTGTCTTGATTTTCTTGATACATATTTGTGTATATATAACAAGATAGGTGAAAAAGAAAAAGAAAATAAAATAAAATAAAAAGGGGTAGAAAATGGAATCGTATTAAAAATAAAAATAAAAAAACCTTAGCCATTTTTTTTTTTTTTGTTCATTCATTCTCTTTAGAATTTAAGGTTAGGGGAGTGAGATTTAGTTTGTGGTGCAAGAATTAAATTTGTTTAATTCGATTGAATCCTATGCAACTAGGGTTTGAAATTTTCGATTTGGAGAAGTTTTGATAATCAAGTGATATACTGACTCTAATAACCCATAATTATATGATTTGTTCTTTCTTGTAATTTTGTTTAGGTAACATATTCTGTATACATATTTTATTTTTTGTTGAATTGTTTTAATGTAAGTTTATTTTGCATTTTAATTTTTTTTAATTTCAGTCAAAAGATAAAGTTAAATTGTATAATAATATATTATGTATAATATATTGTATAAAGCATAACGTATAAAGTGGTATTCATACATATGGAAAAACACACAAAAATATATATTTTTTCTTGACTTGCTAATATGGCGCTGACTTGATGATGACAAGTCTATGTTGGGGAGATGGCATTAATCACCAGCATTAGATGCTCACTGGATGTCGTCCAGAGAGTAACTGGAGATGATTTTTTTCCCTTCTATCAGACACTGATATAAAGATCGAAAGTCTCCAACGAGGAGCAAACTCTCTATTCATTGAATGGGATGTGAAATTGACTCAATTACACATTTTTTAAAAACTTTTTATTCTTTAAAATCTTAATTTATTATGTAGAAACTCATTTGAAGAATTAATATTCTGTTTTTATTACTTTTTGAAAGTTTTTCAGGAATTTACATTCAGTTTTTAGTTTACTTACATGAAATTGGGGTCATTATACTGTGTTTTCTATTAAAATAAATTCATGGCATGATCCCTTCATTGTTTATTTTTTTTTGTTATCAACTTATCATTGTATTATTATTTTAACACTCTATGGGTGATTTGATTAATGGTAGCATCACTGAATAATGTTGCCTTCGACAAATATCAATTACTACAACTAGTATAAGAATGAAATGTTTATTTTTAGTTTGATAAAATGCAAAAAAAATTCATGCCATATTAAAAAAATTGCAAGAAACTCGCATGTAATTTAGTATGTGCATATAAATTCTTACAATTTGAAAATTTGTAACAAAAATTTTCCCTAATCATTATTTTGTGACCAATTTTTTTTAATAAAATTTTTAAAATACCCTTATGCTATGTTCAGAAGGAAAGAAGAGGGGTAGAAGGAAAATAGGAAGGAATGAACAAATTTCCTTGTTCGGTAGAGATGATATAAGGAAAGAAATGATAATAGAAAGGATGAGTCATCCTTCCTCCTTCACAAATTTTCAATCCCCCAAATATGGACGGAAGATTGGAGAGAAGACAAATAAGTCTATTATAGAAGTTTTAAATTACTACATCACCTTTCATAAATAAAGTAAGGGATGTGTTTAATGGTAAAAACAATTTAAAAATTTATCTTTCCTTTTATCCTACCGATTAAATTAAATTGTCAGCTTTTTCCATTCTCTTCCATCCAACCCATTCAACTGAACAAAAAGAAAGAAATACTTAATCACTTCTCTAGGGATGTCTAAGTCATTCTTTCTTCTTTCCTTTCCATTCAATTTTTTTTCCTTCCTATCCAAAGAAGCATTAATAAAATTTGTACATTTATTTTCTTTTTGCTTTAAGAGCATTTTAGATATTTTAATCTTCAAATTGAGAAAATGTAATTATTTGCTCAATTTTAAAAAGGGTAAATTTCAACTACCTTACTTGAAGTTTATCAATATCACACATAGACCCCTCTACGATTATATTACTTCCCCTATAAATAGGGATGGCAACGAGGCGGGATGGGACGGGGATTTCATTCCCCATCCCCATCCCCATCCCCATCCCCATCCCAGATGAATTTTTCAATCCCCATTCCCGCCCCCCATCTTTGCTTAAAATTTCTCCACCATCCCTATACCCGCCCTCGCCCCCGATTCCTTATCCTTGTCCCCGCCCTCGGCCCCGACCTCATAATTTTTTTATTAAAAAAAACACATTTTTTCTTATTTTCATATATATATATAATAAATCTAATTTAGTAATAAATTATTATATATAAGGGTATATTAGCAACTTCACACTTAATCAGGACAGGGCAGGACAGGTTTATCCAATCCCCCCCCCCCGCGCCCCCAACCCCGGCGGGGATTCATAATTTGCTCCCATCCCCATTCCCGTTTAGCTAAAAGGATCTCTATCCCCGCTATAAATGGGGCGGGGCCCCGGCAGGGATGGGGAATTTGCCATCCCCAAGCTATAAGTGACTTTCTACCGTTTTATCCATGAAATATTTGCTAACCTCAAGGAAGGTAAGTACAAAAGTAGACTTCGGGTTTTGTTGTTGTTGTTGTTGTTTTTGTTTTTTTTTTTTTCATTACCATTTTTAGTTTAATTTATAACAAACTGAAATAAATGAAATAAATGGGTTAGATACATTGGGTACATGTTTTAAATGGCTGATGACCAGCTTATTAAAAATTGAGTATTGTATATTTGTATGATGTCGTTAGTAGCCATCAACCCAACAATTTTTCTTATGGTGCATTAGGAGGATTTTGATTGGTGCATTAACCAGGTTTTAACGAGTGCACTCAGAAACTCATTTGGAAGCCCTAAAATGTATTGGATGACCTCAAAATTCTGATTAATTGTTTTGAAAACTTTATTAAGACATTCTTTAATAAAATGCTGAATAGGTTGCAAATATATTTTAGTGATAATCTATAATTTTTGTGTTTTATTATTGGTCCGGCAGCATAAGTTAAGATTCCCAACTAAATGGTGCAACCATATCATAAAAATCATGATTCCCAACCACACGGTGGCACCAAAATTGACCTGGCCCTTTTAGCAGACCAGCCTGTACACGTATATTTTTATTTATGAAGAGAGATAAATTGGATCCAGTGATATTATTGAGCCAAAGATCTAGAGCTATACTTATTACTTACCAAGAAAAAAAAAAAATTATATATATATATAGATGTGATCTTGAATCTGATGTGGTGGTAGCTAAAAAGATATTAATATCCTCTAATTTAATACATATCATGTTGTAATCTTTTATGCATTTGTATTTCCTATTTTAACAAACTGAACTACATGAATTTCCCAAAAAAAAAAAAAAAACTACACGAATTGTCAATTGAAGAAAACGGAAAGAACAAATAATTACAATTGGTTTTATCTGTCTATGTTAATTTGTTTTCCTCTACTAATATTTTTCAATATACATACAAGTGTGTGTATATATATATATTTTATTTTGTGCACTTTATGATGTTAGGTATGTCTTTAAAATTTAATCGTAACTAGAAAATATCAAATCAAAATACAGTTATAATTTTTTTTTAAGTGAATTCAATTAAGGTTGCTATTCACTAGAAAGAGATCACTCATTCATGATAAAATTTTGTAACTTCTAATTTTAATTATTTAAAGATTTAATAAAAAGAGTATTCCAAAGGAAAATGTACATGAATTCAAGTAATTAAGTTATATTAGGGTTTGGATTCCATAATTATAAGTTTTGTTATTTTTTCTTTCCTTCCTATATTAAAATCTTTCATATATTAAAAAATTAATTTTAAAACACACAAAGCAGCCAAATAAACAACCACATAATTCAAAATAAAATCACAAATTAAAATTCGTAAAATATAGCATTTTCCAAACAAAAAAACCGGCTCAACAAAATTTATGGATTTGTCAATGAGTCAGGTAAATCTAAAATTTTACTTAAAAGAGGACTCCCTTTGCTTGGTTTGCTTTGAAGTCACACATAAGATAAGCCCAGAGAGACAACGCATTATTCACGATAATGGTCACAATTGAAATACAGTAGTGACTGAAACCTCCTCACACCATGCTTATTGCATGTGTTTACCTACCAGTACCATTTGAGATGTTTTAACCTTCACTAGAAAATGTAAAGAAGACACGAGAATAAGGTCATTAAGTGATAAATCACATGTTAATCAGAATAAAATTTGTGTGATTATGATGATTTATATAACTGATTAGGACAAAAGCTTGATTGGCAATCCAATCTTTTACTACTTAAAAAAAAGTGCGGAGGGTAGTTTAGTAAAAGCCGCGGAGCAACATCCGACCAGTGTGCGCAACATTTTTTTGAATTGAGCCCGTTTAGCCTTTCACAGCATCCCATCCCACAAAACACACGCGTATTAGATCCGTCTTGGAAATAAATTGTCCATGTCACCTTTTCTAATCGTGTGTGATAGATC